TTTGCATTGCAGCTGTTGATTTCTTCAACCGGATTAACCTAATGTACGGTGTTATCGCGGAGGTGTGCACGAAGCAGTCATGTCCTACGATGTCCGGAGGATCTAAGTTAGTGCTTCTTCTGAGTCAAGCATTTCTGATTTCTTTTGCTTTCTATCCTAGCTAAATATTCAAACGGAAGGTAAAATATGATTGATTTGATGAAGACTAAGCAAGCAAAGGGTGAATGCTGTAATCATTAGTTTGGAGTTTATTTTATATTGAAGATGTCTATGTAGTTTAATGTCTTACACTCATCTCTAGTGCAACTGTGAGTAATGCTTCTGTAGTCACTAGCGAAGGAAGCAGTATGTTTGCTCGAGACCTTTCTGAGGGTCTATGATTTCTCTTATAAATATTATTGAAGAAATCAAATGCCTTCAGATTGGACAAACAACTAGAGAGTTGTTGAGCAACACTCCAATTTTGCTTTCACAATGTTCTTTCATACAGTAGTCCATTAATTTTGCTGAACACTCTTCTTCCTTTTTTTGGAGTTCTATCTTAGTTTTGTATTTTCTTTTTTTCAAAGGATTTTGAAGAGGTAGGCATAATGGCAGTGATAGCTGTTGGTTTGGAAAGTAATTCAGAGATTAAGTCTTCTCAACGTATTGTTATCTCTTTTTTTTTGGAATATATTTGATCCTAACTTTCATATTTGAGATATGAATATTTGTGGCAAGATGGTGCTGAATACAAGAAGCCAACGAGGGTTGCAGCTCCAGATTATATGATGTTGCTCATGGATTGGATTGAAGTGAGGATCAACGATGAGAACATTTTTCCAACTTCTACAAGTGAGTAATCAGACCGACAGCATTTTTGTTTGAGTGATTGTGAGCTCCTGCTCGAGAACATGTTACCTTTTTTTGAAAGGACGGGCTTCTTGATAACTTTTTTTAGATGTTCCTTTCCCCAAAGATTTTCGACAAATATGCAAGAAGATACTTACACGTCTGTTTCGGGTATTCGTGCACGTCTACATTCACCATTTCGACCGCTTGGTTGATATAGGCGCGGTATGTTTTGTTCCGTAAGACGAGTTGGAGACATCCCTCGGTTAAATTTTAAAAAGTGGTACTCTGCAGTAACGAAAATGCCTTTCATCTATCGATTTTGAATGCACCATTTTCTCCATTCTTCTTGTCTAGACTTTTTAAAGTATGTATTAGATCTTCGAAAAACGTTCTAAATATCGCATTCAGCGCGATTAGCATTATGCATTGAGGGCAACCTCAACTTAAATTTTCATATAGTGAATTTATTGGACCACTATCACTTTAGAAGTTGAGTTAATAATATACTAAGAGGACTTCCTTTTTAGAATTTTGTATTTTTTCACAACTTTAATTTTTCACTCAGCAGTTTTTAGATGAACAGTTTATAGTAAGGTTGGTCAAATTCAATATCTTGTTTCGAAGCACCTACACAATGCTGCACCATCCTAGTGCATTTCTTCGTTGTTAATATCACAAGGCAAGCACACTTTTAAAAAAATCTTGGTGCAGTTTGTTGTGCGAAATTTCTCTTTAACATTCTTAGTACGGCAATAAATTCAGAGTCAAAGTTTGAATAAGGTTGAT